ACAAGACTACTATATTCTTCTGTTGAGAAAAGGTATTTAGCAGTTTATATTTACTAAAAGAATAGCATTTCCATGTTGTGTGTACTGTGTGAGACCAGATATATAGTGAATGCAGGGTCCTAGGTTTAGTACACTTTAAGTTGAATTGTTAATAAAAGGCTGAGATCGCCATTTTGCTCCACTTATGGTTTGGTCTTGTTTATGTGCAAAAACGAACATGTGGGCTGAGTTTTGGTAGTATGGTCCTGCAGTCATGTGCTAGAGTTTGGGGGGACATCTATTCTAAGCTAGTCAAGTACGGGCCTGGAGCAATGAAATAAATAAAATTGCGGAGGGCAGACATTACAGTTTGAATAGGGTAGACCATTAAGAATGGGTTAAGGATAGGTTAGCAGCAGCAGATACACGCTAACCTGATTGGGTGGGTTGTTCGGTGCTGGGTGGGGTCTTGGGAACCTTAGGGAGTGGTGCAGGGTCACAAGTTTCCAGTGGAGATTGTCGGACAGAGGATGAAACTTTCTACCCACCCTCCCTGTGTTAGGATTTGGGAGAATTTTGTGGTTTCATGTCTGTAATGGCAGCTGGGTGGTACTTGGCCTTGGGAGGAGAAAAAGTTTTTGGTTAAGAGAATGGTCGGGACCCATCGGCGGTATGGTATGGCGTCCTTGGGTACATTCCTGTTAACAAAGCTTTATCTGGAATGTGGAGGTAGCGCACTGCAGATAGTGTGTCTTGTCTCCGAGCCGGTGTTGTGACTGGAGGCCTATTATGGTTAAAGTTCCATAGGGAATAATGGAATGTGTTTTGTGCCTTCCAAGACCAATAGGCTTATCTGTTATCTTTCTGTTTTAAGGAATGTTTTGTGTTAATTTAAGTTGAATTGTTAATAAAAGGCTGTGATGGCCATTTTACTCCACCTATGGTTTGGTCTTCTTTATTTGCAAAAATGAAGAGGTGGGGGGGCTGAGTTTTGAGAGTATGAGCCAGCAGTCATTGGCTAGAGTTTGGGGGGACATTTATTCTACCCTAGTCATGCTGACACACGCTGCAGCTCGCAACTGCAGTGTGTTTTGAATGTGGTGCAGGAAATGCGCACAGAACGTGGGCTTCATGCACCATGCTCTAGTGTGAATCTTGCCTAAAGGTATAAAATTATTAAAGACATTAAAAAGTGGACACTAAGGTCAAATAGTTCTCTGTATATATTTGATAGATAATGATATCAAATATGTGTGCCATTACAACAAAATCAGGAATATTTTGTATAGTGTAAATGAGAGTGATCACATTTAATGATGTATTACCAATAAACTCATTACATATATGTTGGGTGCACGCATGTTTTTGCGCATTGGAGGGCTGTAACTGTGACTGGCCCTATAGGAGCTCTGCACTCTGCTGATGGGAAAAGGTAGCCTACAGAACATCATTATGTAGGTTATCATCTAAGTGGAGTGTGCCCTTCTGGATAGACATGGTATACGTCCTATTGGAAAACTCATTCATGCGAACCTACACTTGTGGGAACTAGAAGTGCTGGTTGGCCCCTGCATAATAAAATTAGTTTGGAGTGTACAATAATGCTGAGGTCATGTGGAAAGAGGGAGAGGCATATTTATGTGTTGGGAAGAGTTGTGCACTCTCTTCTTGTTACAGAAAGGGCTGATCATGTGGACATTCATTTATTTCTGGCAGAGGACCTTTGGTTGGGAGTAACCAAGATGGTGGAATCCCTGTTGAAGGAGAAGGATGGGAGGCACCCTGGGCCAGCGTGACCATTGCTGTTGGCGTATCTGGGACCTGCTTACATGTGTGTGTGCGCAACATTATTCCCCCAGTTCAGTTGACACTATGGATTTTTACATTTACTGTCTTTATAAATAATTGTAACAGTAGTCATATAGATCCCCAAAACATTAGAAAAAAAATGTGTTCTTTTCTTGATTTAGGCTTTACACTTGTTAAATTCATTGTATATTTGCTGGTCTCCAACAATGATAATTATGACCCAGATGCTTAGTCTTATTACTCAAGCCAAAAAATACTGTGCAAAGCAAGTTAACCCCCAGTGACCAATCAGAATTATTTTCCTGTACATGAATGCAGTAAAGTGAAGCCTGGTCAGTTGAGGTTAGCCTGCTTTGCAGATCATTGGCCCTAACCCTTCAAGCTTCCAGCAGACAGTGTGGTTCCTCAATCCCAGGTCTCCTCTCAGGGATAGAAGGGGATTCCTGTTCTATTCTTGAAAATGGAAAACTTTTTTTAAAGGAAAATGACATCTGCAGAAATAATCCGAGACTGAATCCAATTTATACATTTGTTCCACGAGAGACAATATAACGTGACACTCACACACGCTACTTGCACATAGGTGAAATGAATTCTGTCCTTAGTGGCTGCCAGATCCGTAATAGGCTTACAATCTCATTGCTCTAATATGTGGCCATTAGCCGAAGAACAGAGATTGATCGCTTCTGGCAGAGCTGATGGATTCTTCGCAGTCTTATTCTCAGAGAAAAGTGCCAATTTTCCCCAATGTAGTGCAGGTGGCGGCATGAGACAGACAACGCAGTGATGACCAATCTTTTCTCTGGCTTCTAAAGGACCTTTTACAGCGACATTAATGAGAGATGAAGTGAACCTCAAGAAAGAGAACCAGGAAAAGAAAATCATTTGTCTGCCTCTATTCCGAATAAATTGTTTTTGTCTTCTATGTTGCAAGCATGGATGAAGCAAATCAGTAGTTTTTGTTTAAATGAAATTTTTGCAAAAATTTGGACATTGCTGTAAAATGTTATGTAAAATGCATTGAAGTCAATGGTAAAAATTAAATGAATGCCTATCTCTGGGAAAAAATGACCCCATTATGTGAACCTCATAGATGCCTAAACAATGACCAGTCCGCTCTCCAGTCCAGAAGACCATGGATTCAGGTAAGTATTTAGCATAGTTTTTATTTTAAGTATATTCAAGCAATTAGCTGGTGGTGATGAGGGTCCTTAGCCAGAGATAACAAGGTGATTGGTAAAGGTACAATGGGCTTTAACCCTTCAGAGAAATATAGAAGCACCTTTTACTAATCCTGGACCTGTTCTTCTTCCAAAATATGCTAACTCCCAATGCTAACATCAACAGTAACCCTAACCCTAGTGCTAACACCAATTTTAACCTTAACCCTTTGCATATAAACAAGGTCATGTGACCACCAAGTCAGCTCTGACCTTTAGACATCTATATATGTACAGTTGCAAGAAAAAGTATGTGAACCCCTTGGGATTACGTGGAGTTTTGCATGAATTGGGCATAAAATGTGCTCTGAACGTCATCTAAGTCACAACAATAGAAGAACACAGTCTGCTGAACATAATACTACAAAAACATTAGATGTTGCCATGGTTTAATTGCACATAACATGTAAACATTCACAGTGCAGGGAGGAAAAAGTATGTGAACCTTTGGACTTAATAACTGGTTGACCCTCCTTTGGCAGCAATAACCTCAACCAAACGTTTCCTGTAGTTGCAGATCAGACCTGCACAATGATCTGGAGTAATTTTGGACCACTCCTCTTCACAAAACTGTTTCAGTGTAGGAATATTCTTGGGATGTCTGGTGTGAATCGCTCTCTTAAGGTCATGCCAAAGCATTTCAATCGGGTTGAGGTCAGGACTCTGACTGGGCCACTCCAGAAAGCGTATTCTGTGCTGTTGCAGCCATTGTTTTGTTGAATTACTTGTATGCTTTGGGTCATTGTCCTGTTGCATCACCCATCCTCTGCGGAGCTTCAGTTGGCGGACAGATGGTCGTACGTTTTCCTGCAAAATGTCTTGATAAACTCTGGAATTCATTTTCCCATCAATGACAACAATCCGTCCAGGCCCTGAGGCAGCAAAGCAGCCCCAAACCATGATGCTCCCTCCGCCATGTTTTACAGTGGGGATGAGGTTTTGATGTTGGTGTGCTGTGCCTTTTTTTCTCCACACATAGTGTTGTGTGTTCTTCCCAAACAACTCAATCTTGGTTTCATCTGTCCACAGTATATTTTGCCAGTAGTGCTGTGGAACATCCAGGTGCTCTTTTGCAAACTTCAAACGTGCTGCAATATTCTTTTTGGACAGCAATGGCTTCCTCCGTGGTGTCCTCCCATGTACTCCATTCTTGTTTAATGTTTTCCTTATTGTAGATGTGTCAACAAAAATATTAGCATGTGCCAGAGATTTCTGTAGGTCTTTAGCTGACACTCTGGTATTCTTCTTTACCTCATGCAGCATTCTGCGCTGTGCTCTTGCAGTCATTTTTACAGGACGACCACGCTTGGGGAGAGTATCAACAGTGCTAAACTTTCTCGATTTGTAGACAGTCTGTCTTACCGTGGACACATGAACATCAAGGCTTTTGGAGATACTTTTGTAACCCTTTCCAGCTTCATGCAAGTCAACAATTCTTGATCGTAGGTCTTCTGAGAGCTCTTTTCTGAGAGGCATGGTTCACATCAGACAGTGCTTCTTGAAACCAGTAAACCCAAAACAGGGTGTGTGTTTTTTAAGGGCAAGACAGCTATCAGCAACACATCCAATATCATCACACTGATTGGAGTCAAGGTTGGCTCACTCCTGGCTCCAATTAGCTCTGGGAGAAGTCATTAAGCTAGGGCCTCACATACTTTTTCCTCCCTGCACTGTGAATGTTTACATGTTATGTGCAATTAAACCATGGCAACATCTAATGTTTGTGTAGTATTATGTTCAGCAGACTGTGTTCTTCTATTGTTGTGACTTAGATGACGTTCAGAGCACATTTTATGCCCAATTCATGCAAAACTCCACGTAATCCCAAGGGGTTCACATACTTTTTTTTGCAACTGTATATATAAATATATACTGTTTTTTCCTTACAAGTAAAGTTAGTACATTCATCACTTTTAACTTTTACATAATTGAGATAATTTTGTAAGTTTTTAATACATTTGATGATTGAATTTAAAGATCATAAACAACATTATCCCAACTGTTCAGCACATACTGTAAATGTGATAGTGTGCTGTACCAGGGGCTGACTGACCATTTGGAAACTCAGGCCCTGCCCGAGGGCCCGGGGTCAGTAGGGGGCCCCATGAGATGCCCCTGGTACCTTTTTCATAGGCTTTTTTGAGTTTGGGCAAGGACACAGGGGCCCCATTATCCCCTATTGCCCGGGGGCCCCATGAGTTGTCAGTTCGCCCCTGTGCTGTACACATATGTAGCCCTCTCCTAGATAGATGGTAGGATTAGATTTAGTTCTGGATCACTGTGTTGCATCACTGCAATTAGTGTGGCTGAGAATCCTGTTGTAGGCAAATTTAGTTCTAGCTTACTGTAGTATTTGGTTAGGTCTGTTCTGGGTCTCACAGGCTGCTTGTTTCATTCCCTCTCCCCATCTTGTCAGAACAATCCAGTTAGTTCTGAGACATAGGTGTGGAGTAATGGTAAAAGGCAGCGTGAATATTTATACCGTTCCAGGCAATCTTGGTGAAGCCATGTACAAGGGGCTGCGGGGAAAGGGTATAAATAGTCTGAGAACTGGAGTGGTCTGGTCTTCTTCTGGAGAGGGGAAGTCCAGTCTAGAGGGCACGTTGTCCTCCTGGGCAGCCAGCGTGTGGTCCTACTTCTCATCAAGTGCCCAGCTCTGTTGGTTTGGGGACCCATTCCACAGTTACTTTGCTGAAGCTGACCAAGAGGATTGTTCTCCTTGGGGATCTAGTCTGGTATCACTGGAAAAGGAGTCATGAAGATATTGGAAAGAGGTAGCCATATATTCAAGGGCTCTAAGTGAGAACAGACCTGTGTGAGAGATCTTTGAGACTGTGTGCTGCTACTATACCTCTTGCAATAGAGTCAGCTTATCTCTACCTAAAGGGTAGGCATGGTTATGATGTTCCTGAAAAGCTCAGTCCAATATTTGCTGCAAGCAAGAACTCTCTCAGTCCTAAGAGGAAGATTTGTGTCCTCAAGTTGTTGCTAGGAGTTACCAGAGTATCCTACAGTCAGCCTTTACCGATCCAAGTTCAAGATTTCATTAATGCATAAAAGAAAGCATATCCCTAGACTGATTAATAAGCCTGAAAAGTGCTGGAATCGTGTTTGGCTGCAGTGTGTACATATTGGGGAAGGAACCCTGGGCACAGATATACTGTAACAGCCCTTGCGGGAGTGAGCTCTACAGATATAATTTATGTACATTCAGTTATCCTCAGAAATGTACCGATATCTATTTTGAGTATTCTTTCTTTTTCATGCACTATTTTGAATGATTTTATGATACGTTTCAACTCTGATAAAAGGGACCATGTGTGGTTCCCGAAACACATTGATGGTAAAACCTGCTATATGTTTGGAATGAAACTTCATTTTAAATTCTAAATAATGGTGTGGTGCTCCAATTCTCACACTCAAACACCATTTTTCAATAGTTCAAGGCCATTGGACCAGTTCCTTGGTTTGCAGGAGCAGCCCATTTGTCACTTGGACATCCCATTAGGATACCACAGCACATTTTTGTCAAATACATTAACCACGTCCGCACCGCCCTACAGCAGAAATACTGCTACAGGGTGGCACTGGTGTGCAAAATCATGTATATATACATGATTTTGCAGTACCGAGAATCCCCTGGCCCTGGAACACAGTTTAAGTTGAACCAATATTTTGATTGTATTGAGATCAAAGAAATGATGCAAACACAAAAGAACAGTAATTGTGAACAGCTGCCAGACACTCTGCAAGGCTCAGCCAAATGATCAAACACAGTACCCCTTTTAAAACAAACCCAAAATGTCCTGCAGGACAAAAATGAGCTGTATTAGGCTATCAAGAATTAGGGTTAACTTTTGTATTCTCTGTAGTGGTCTGGTAACAGGGTTTGACTAGAAGATGAATATCCAGATGCTAATGTCCCCTTTGATACCACAGCAGAATAGGAAAAAGAATACAACTCTTCTGCGTGCTTGTTGGGGCCTTAGTTAGTGCACATTGAGGTTGAACCATTTTGTTTTAGAGCAAGATTTTTTGAGGAAAGAAAACACAGTAGTAAGAAAAATTCCTCCCCTGACTGATGGTGGCAAAGCTAGAGAAACGGTCCCTTAATGGAAGTGGGTGAAAGCAAGGATCAGTATAGATGAAGAAGAGGTGGGAGTGGACTCAAAAAGAATTTGTATTCCAATAGATAGGGAATTGACTTGATGAAGCAAGCTCCTTTATGGCTATAATATGTGGGAGATGAATTATTAATAGTGTCGTTATCCACAAAGACATGTGTTTCAGGAGTAGTTGGGAGGGGGAATAGAAGCTGTAGGCCTCAGTATTGAATTTGGCTAAGAGGTCTGTGTTGCAGGTGGTAAACTATAATGCACAGTGTGCTGCACTGATATAACTGAGAAAAGAATAGGATATCTGGCAACTGAAGACACTTTGGGATGTAGAACCCTTTCACCAAGTTTGTAGTCTAGGCGAAGTAAAGAACGGTCTCTTGATTGGAGAGCCCCCTTGTCCTCCTAGTCCCACAAAGAATGGAATGATGCCGGCCATGATTCCATAATCTGTAGGCCTGCAGAGTCAGCTCTCCTGCTTATATAGTAACACCAGCTACCGGTATCTGTAATCCTTCTGACCGGCTCTGCAATGCAACCCGATCCAGTCTGGGCCCGCCGAGTTCCGCACCAGTGCCCAGCAAACGTCCTCCTCACACAGGGGTTGATTTACTAAAGGTAAATAGACTGTGCACTCTGCTCCAGAGCTTATAAAATGAGCAAAAGCTCTGATGACTTCCATCATCCAATCATGTGCAAGCAAAAGTGCTTTTTTTCAATTTTCCTTGCATGTGATTGGGTATTCCTTGCAAAGTGAATCTTTATCTAATTTACAAAGCTCTGGAGCAATTGCACTTGCAGAGGGAAGGGAAAATGGAGCAGCCCTTTTAGATATAAATATGAAATACATTGGTATTGAATTAGATGGCCTAACAACCTATTTATTTTTCCTTGCATGAGAAAAACCAGTTCCACACCTCATGCCCTCTCCTGTTGGCTTAATATCTGGTACTTCACTTCTGCTACCAGTTCCACAGCATTCTCACAACCTATTGACCTCAAGATTGTTGTCACAGCCTTTGGGGACCTGTCAAACTGGATGGACATTTACATGTGGACAAATAATCGCATCTCCAGAGGTTTCTCCAAAAACACAGATGGCTCTTGACAGAAAGATCAGATAGTCAGGTACCACCCACTAGAAAAGCATATAAATTGTATTAGAGGGCCCTAGTTAGACAGAGCATTACTTTGAATCCAACACCATGTATTGTTCTGCTCTCCCTGCATGGAGGCCTAGCTACATGCTTGTATAATAAACATCTACTTTTCAATTTGGCTTCAGCAGTCAAAATGTTACTGGAATCCATGAGATTTGGGTTTCCCCGTCAATGCACAACAGTCCTGCCTTCAGCTAAACTGCGGAACACCGCCATCTTGTGGTTAGTCATCATCATGCAAACAGTAAGAATGCAGTGTTTTACATCAGCAAAGGATAAACCTGTAATTACAAGTTCAGTACAGTGAAAAGTTCCACAAAACCCTGGTCATAAGGAGCATTGTGCATGGCAGCAGTACATACTGTATGGTACAAAAAATGTCCTGAATATAAAAATGAATATGACAATGTTCACCATTTGCTGCTCTTTTCATCAGTTTATCAGTTCAATATTAAAAGGTTATGTAGCACCCCCCCCCCTTCCCCCAGGGACAGCTGGAAGACGAAGGTCCCAAAGGTTGCCCTGACCTTGCAAGCCTCCCAACACCTCTGACACCCTGGGTTCATAGTTCACAAAAGATCATAATTACAAAGACACCAGACTATAGTAAAGCAACTGAGTATTTACTTGGGGTTCTCAAGTCAAGAGACAGAAAGGAAAGTTAATGCAGGTATCTTTCAATATAAACGTTTTAGTCTCTGAGAGTATAGAACACAGATATGCAATGTAAAGGGAATCACAGTGAATCAAACAGCGATTAGTGATAGGCCCTGAAAGAACCCATGACCTCAGGTATGAAAGGAAGAGAAAGACCTTTCTGTGTCAAGCTGTTCCCTTAAAATCCTGATGCCAGTAGCCCAGAAAATATCAGCGCAGTTTATAAGAACTCAATATGTGAACATCGCAACAAGCAAATTCTGTCTATACACACGGATGTAATACAGAGTCATTTATGTGTGTGTGGAGGGGGAGAAGTCCTGGTGGTGCAGGTGTTAAGAATCTTCAGCTAGATCAACCAGGGCCCGGAAAGATTGCTGTGCTATGGCGACCAGCGATAGTGAATAGTGTAAGAGGTGTAGAAAATAGGCAGCCCCATAAAATTTAAATCCAAAGCCTAATACCTAATATAACAGTAATATATCTTTGTCAATAGAAGATACTAGTGATTGCATTTTTATTGTACCATCACAAGAGGGCAGAACTACTTCCTGTGATAATAGGCACAGAAGTAGGAACCAAAAGTCTAACACTTTGTTTCCTACAGGCCAGTGATTACAGTGAACATATCCAGTCACATGTAATTAAGGGTTTTCTGTGTTTGTTACAGGTAAGCAGGAGGCTGTTTAACCACTCCCCCGACCGGCCGTTGTATATAAACGGCCGGACGGTGGCACTGCAGGGTCGGGTGGCCGTCTATAAACGGCCTCCCCGTACCCTGCTTGTGCGCGCTCCCTGGGAGCGCGCAGCACACCGTGATCCGGTGCCCGCTGTGTCCTCCGGACACAGTGAAACACCGATCGTCGGACGGGACCTCTGTACGAGGTCCCGATCATGTGATCACTGATTGGCCAATCAGTGATCACATGCAAAGTAGTAAGCAAGATGTCACTTCTGACATCATTGCTTACTATGTGTGAAATCTGTGAATGATCACAGAGGTCACATGGTACAATGCTATTCACAAAAGCCTTGTACCATGTGACAAGCTGTGACCAATCACAGCTCACTCTGTATTTGTCAATGAGTGCAGGAATGCACACAGAGAGAAAGAGAAATGATTGCTTTTACATCCTTTTATGGGTGTAAAAGCAATCAGTGTAAAAAAAAAAAAAAAAAAATCTTTATCACCCCTCACAAGTAGTACAGTGTCACCATGGTGACACTGTACTGCTAGGGTGACAGTATGTAAAAAAAATAAATAAAAATAAATAATAATATAAAAAAATAAAATAAAAATGTAAAAAAA